GATTCGCTATTGGCAATATCAAGCAATTGAACTGTTTTAAAGTGGCCAATGAGTGTAATTGGTAAAACGGCAACAAAGCAGCTTCTACAATCTAAGCAATTTTCTGTCAATCGGTTGATGGTTTTTAATCTTAAAAAGCATACAAAGTAAAACACAGAATACCGAGATGGGAGGACTAAATTCTTTAAAACCTATTGCATTTCCTCAATACTAAGAAAACTGTGTTACAGCAGCTTTATTTGATAGTATTGTCCCCATTGGAAAATTAGATTTTCTGCCTGGTGAAGACCAGAATAAACTTCTTTGCTGACAAAAAAACTACAATAAAAAATACACTTTGAGAAAAAATGTTGTTCAACTTCAAAACGTGAAGAGTGGAAACTGCAAGAAAATAGGAAAGGTGTAAAAAAAAAAATGCTTTAAGGAAAATATTAATGTTCATATGTAGATTTTTTTATCACTTTAGTTTTAGATTTAAGCTTATTGTTCTTTTAAAGGTGTGTTGGGTAGTGGTTTTCTATCTATGGTTGTCTGATGCTTGGATGACCAGGATGAACAGATCAAAGCTACCGATCAGAACCGATCAAATAAAGTACAGTACCTGCCTTTCCAACACATTCTCACTTCCAACTCAAAGTTGACGCTTGGTCAACCTCCTGCGTGTCAGACTCTGATGAGATGGGGGCCCTTTCGTTATATATTTAAGTACAAGATGCATGACAGACATTTTATCATGTGACTTACACGTGACCTGTGACAATGTTTTTAGCCTACAAAGTTGATAGCAGTGTACAGTATGGTTACGTGATTGCATGCCATCTCCCAGGCCCTGGATGGGGGAGGGAGGGGGCATGGAACAGAGCCTTCAATATTTTATATTTTCCTATTTTTTACTTTCTTCTGATTATCTGTTGCAGTACATATGGGGGAAATTCCCCACCTGCCTCGTTCTAAATTGCTAAGCTGTTGACGCAGCTACTTTTAAGTTTATCAAGCTGATATACATACTGTAAGGCTCACTGCGCTTCAGGCAAAAGCAGGAAAATCAAAAAAAAACCTACATTTCCCCCCCCCGTCCTGAGTCAGGCAGCCGCTCCATCACTTTAACATGGAAGCGTTACGGGCAGCAGCTCTTAAGCCTCAAGACGCGTAAACGGCTTAACCTTGAATAACCCTCTTACCTGCAGAAATGTGGTCACAGCTTGTTAGCACGAACTACTCAAAGGTTCCTGTCAGGATAGTTGGCTATGTTTGCTTGGTGAACTTATAGTTAAGACCAACAGGTATTAAGAGGTTTTGATGCTTTCATTTTGACTGACGTGACCACCAGGTGCGTCCACGGCTGCATCAGGCAGGTGCTGCTGCGCTGGAGGTGAATAAATTGACAATCCTGCTGTACAGCCTCAACTGCCTAAGAAAAATTAGACCATCACATTTTGTTTTCAAATCCAAACATGTCACACAAGCAGAAATCAATAAATTGTATCAATTGTGACTGGAGCATGTATAGAAACTGCTACATAGTCAAGAAATTAAAGTGGCAAAATTTCTATCTGCAAGTGTAAAAATGTCCATGTTAACTGTGATGCATGCATTAAATAAAAAAGAACTAGAAAAAGCTGTTTCGGAGAAACATCAAAGTGGGAATGCTTCTGCTGAATGAAATAAGCTGAAATGACCCGAAGAACATATAAAAATGTGATAGGAAGTCATCAGAAACTTCAAACTGCAGAAAACAATTGAATCATCTGAAGATTCTATAGGGTAGAATCATTTGGCAGTAAAATGGCACAAACAGACTCATCTTAAAAGCTGCAATTTTAACGGAAAACATGAAGTGTTTCCATAAAAAAATTAATCAGTAGAACCAAGTTCTAACAATTAAAACAGATACATACAATCAGGAGAACAATTTAAAGTGGAAAGAAAATAACAAAGGATCTGTCCTGTGTGAAGTGGCAAAACTAAACCTTTTAAAACCAATTGAAATTACGATTTAAGATGCAGCTGGACATTTATTTAACTTTTTAATATATGAAGTTTAAAAAAGTTGACATTTAACTTGAGTTCACTTCTTTGAAATAGCTACAGGGGTTTATTGCAAAACATTGACATAAGATGCAAAAAATACAAATATAATCTCTTCAATTATGTTTCATATTTTATTAAAAACAAAACAAAAACATTTTACTAAAGCATGAAAAATTAGTTTAGAATGCATTAATAGCACAATAACTTGCACAAACTATAATTTGTTATAATAATCATATTAATTATTAATATAATATTCAGAAATTTATTTCAATAATTTGGAAAGATGGTTTTATAAAGAAAAAACATATTTCAAACATGAAAGTTCACATCAATCCAGCAACACATCTGCTCAAATAAATATGTGAATTTTTAAAAAACAATTTCAAGAAAAAAACCATAAAAGAATAATCATATAAATTATTGATATAATATTCAGAAACTTATTCTAATGAATTTAGAAAATAAGCATGGTTTTATAAAGAATAAAATGCATTGCAAAGACGAAAATTCACATCAATCCAGCAGCACATCTGCTCAAATAAATATGTGAATTTAAAAAAAAAAAAATTAAGAAAAAAAAAACATAAAAGAATAATCATCTAAATTATTATGATTTTTTTTTACAGTGTCCTGTCTGGCAATGTGGCAATAAGAATAATTGTCTTGATGCCAAAAAGAGCCCAACAGATTTTACTTTCACAAGTGTAGCAGTACGGCAATTGCCATATAGCTCCACTTGTTTCATGCATACAAATTGCTTTATTATAATTATGCAGGGAGTTTTACAGTTTATATGGACACTGCAATGTAAACAGAGCAGAAAAACAGAAGAAGAAAAGGAAAAAGAAAAAAAAAGATGAAAGAAAGTGGAGATAATGAAAAAACATTTCTAGTCTGCTTCATCACCTGCAATGAGATGACAAAAGAACAGCACAACCGAAAGACACGGTACGAGATATACAATAAAGCAATACCTTGAAACTATTGCTGTAGTAGTATTAAGTCTGACATGTACTCTGTGTCATATAAATTATTAATGTAATATTCAGAAACTTATTTTAATGAATATAGAAAGAAAGCATGGTTTTATAAAAAATAAAACACATTGCAAAGATGAAAAGTCATCAATCCAGCAGCACGTCTGCTCAAATAAATATGTGAATTTTTAAAAAACAATTTTAAGAAAAAAAAACATAAAAGAATAATCATATAAATGATTAATATAATATTCAGAAATGTATTTTAATGAATTTAGAAAGAAAGGATGGTTTTATAAAGAAAAATAACTTATTGCAAAGATGAAAATTCACATCAATCCAGCAACACAACTGTTTAAAATAAATATGTGATTTTTTAAAAACAAATTTAAGAGAAAAAAAAACTAACAAAGACAATCTAACAAATTTACATAAATTAATTTTATTATAATAAATTTAAACTATGTTTCCAATTATATAACAAACATCTCTGAAAAGGTTAATTGAGAAAAAAAAAAGCAACAAACAATTAATTTAGAGTTTTCTGTGATCCCATTGCAAAGAAGCATTTTGGGAAACGTAAATTTCATTTTTATTATCACAATTAGTTTATGGCACAGTTTAAACAAGGTTATTTTATTAACTTTTGTAGAAAAGTTTAACACAATATTAAAAACTCTGTTTCCAAAGGCTTTTCACATGGTGCTTAGTTCAAGGCTATTCAATATTCATATGTCCACCTATATTTTGGACTGAATGAAAATCATATTTAAACTGTAAATTCATTGTAATTTGGTCTGTCCTAAATATCTTAGTCATTGTGCAGAAATACAAACACAGGAACACTTACTTTATAACATTTGTTCGGATTTAGCATTAGTGGCGGTCATTCCTTGAACATTTATGAGCACTAGGTTCAGGGTTCATGTCTTTGCACTGGGTTTTATATTAGCCTTCTTGAGCTACACAATGTGGAAAACCTTTCTATTAAAATACCAGCTGATACCCCAAACTGAAACAGAATTCACACAGATGTGTCATAATATAACATTGTTTTTTAAACATAGCAGGAGCAATTATAGCTCTTTCAAATTACTGTTTTGAAACACATATGTGCGAATCCTATTCCGAGTATAATTTCAACTATATTAAACCTTGGAGGAGACCAGGTATGTGACTAATACTTTTTGGCTTCAGCATATATAACTTCCTGGTTTTTTTGAGGTTTGAGGTTTAACTTTGATAAAATGTTTGCTGTAAATGCTGTACATTGAAAAGCTGGACACTTGCAATATACTTATTTTCAATTAATGTGAATTTGAGAAATAAAAAACAAAACAAAACTGTCTGTCACTATGACTAAACACACACATTCTTGAATTTAGGTGTGTGTGAAAAACAGTATAAGAGCAAACTTTAACAGTATCAGTGCTCATAGTGCATTCTCTAAAATAGCCCCTGGCAACATCCACATGCATTTGTACTCATCCTCTGGCATTCCAGCACTGCTGCAAGACCTCTGAGCATTTTTCCAACATCAGGCTGCAGGAAAGGGGGTATGAGAGGGGGGAGACATGCAGGAAAGGACCACAGGCCAGATTCGAACCGTTGTTGTCTGCATTGAGGACTAAGGCCTCCTTACACGGGTCATGTGCGTTAACCACTGCACCACCTGCTTGTCAAAAAGCTCTCTTTTACCTCCGCACCATTTGCTGCAGATTTGTAAAGATGGCTGGAGGTCTTCAGCAGTAAAGCAGAGTAAATGTGGTTAGGGCATAGGGCTTTCAATCCTGAGATTGTGAGTTCGATCCCCCACTCCCCACAGACTGCCACCCTGGGTCCCTGAGCAAGACCCTTAACCTCACACTGCTCCCCGGGCGCCTCACAATGGCAGCTCACTGCTCCCCAAGGGGATGGGTTAAATGCAGAGAAGTAATTTCCCTCTGGGATTATTAGAGTATATCAAAAAATCAAAAAAAAAAAATAAAATAAATCAAAGTTGTATTTTTTTGTTTACTTCTGGACCTCAGTTGGAAAACCTGGTGGTGCATACAGGACAGAAAGTCTGTTGGACAAAGGTAGCAGTTCTTTGTCAGTTTCTTACCAGCTGCAGTATCTGATTACCAACCTGTGTCAGCAGCAGTCCATCACTGCTGGAGAGGGAAGGTGGTTGCATGCAGACATGAAGGGGAAATTGATCCTGAGAAAGCAATTCAAAGTAAACATTGTAATAACCTTTAACCTTAAACAATGATATGTAATGCACAATAAGTATGTACCTTCAACAGCACTGAGGCAGGTTTAACTTGTAGATGTTGATAAGTCTACAAGCTGTGGACACCTAAGCTTGAAGGATGCATAGAGGAGGGCAGAGGAAGGCCAAGCTGTGGCTTAGAAACTGTTATCTGTAAAAAGAGATTAGTCATGAATATCACAGCACAGTCAGAGTAAAGAAGTGAACATGGATTTAAGATCACCTCTACCTTTTGTCACTTGGAGCAAGAAGACATATCTCCATCTGATCCAGCAGAAGGAACCGTGCAAGGATGTGTTTTTTTCTTTCTTAAGTCCAGCAGGTGGTGAGCTGGGCGCTGACTGGACGCTTTTAATCTTTTGCTGGGAGGAAAGACTGAGACATGAGGATGCTGGAAGTTCTATTTTTCTGTTCTGTTTTGATTTGAAACTTGTTGTAGTTGGGACGATGTTGAAGTAGGGTTTGCTGAAGTTGGTAGAGAATGTTGTGATGGAGTACACAGGAGCACAGGTCTCTTGTCTGAAGAAAACACACCTGAACAATTCTAGATAAAACAGAATTATAGTTCTTTCATTAACCATCCCACCCCCAACCCACTATGCCCTCCACCCCAGTGGGGTATCAGCTGGTATTTCTTATTGGTACATCAGGAAGCCTTTGTTTTACATAGTGTACAGGCTTCCTAATGTTTTCATAATTAACTCTGAGCAGCTCTCCAAAAGCTGCTCAGAGTTAATCTGATAGACTTGTGGCCTGTGCATTTATCAACCCTGACCCGACCCACCCCGATAAATGCACAGGCCACAACTTGTTTAGAAAGGTGTATTTCTGTTCTACTATATAGAACAGAAATACACCTTTCTAGTTTTCTTGATGTGCCTTTATGTGTATGAAATCAAATTATCTGATAAAAGTTGTACTAGTCAAAGTTTAATCCATAAAAATATTAAATCCAAAAAATAAGAAATCAAAAATATCTAGTTTATATCAATGTTAAGTTAAATGTATGTTTAGAAAAAAAACAAGATCCTGAAATTAATCCAAGTATTGAATAAGAAATTAAAAGTGATTTCATATATAAATGGGGGAATGAGTAGGGCGTATAAGGGACAGTGGCAGCCTAGTGTTTAGACATTGCACTAGGCCCCCAGATGTTTTCAAAGTTATAGCCTAGTGTTTAGGCATTGCCCTTGCCCACTTCTCCCCAAGGGGACAGATCAAATGCAGAGGTGAATTTTTCCAATGTGAGATTAATGAAATTCAAGTATTACTTTTATTAAATGCAGACATGCTAGTTTATATCTCTCTTTGGTCAATGTTTTCAAAAGCTGCTCAGACTTGCGGCCTGTGCATTTATCAACCCTGACCCGACCCACCCCGATAAATGCACAGGCCACAACTTGTTTAGAAAGATGTATTTCTGTTCTACTATATTTAAATAGTTTTCTTGATGTGCTTTAATGTGTATGAAATCAAATTATCTGATAAAAGTTGTACAAGTCAAAGTTCAATCCAAAAAAATTATAAATCCAAAAAATAAGAAATCAAAAATATCTAGTTTATATCAATGTTAGGTTAAATGTATGTTTGGGAAAAACAAGATCCTCAATTTAATCCAAGTATTGAATAAGAAAACAAAGTGATTTCTTAAACTCATATATAAGTGGGGGAATGGGTAGGGCGTATAAGGGACAGTGTCAGCCTAGTGTTTAGGCATCGCCCTTGCCCACTTCTCCCCAAGGGGACAGATCAAATGCAGAGATGAATTTTTCCAAAGTGAGATTAACAAAATTCCATTATTAGTTTTACTATTAAATGCAGACATTATCTGTTTTGGGGTAAATGCAGTTGGAAAGAATACTTCAAATATTGTGCTTCAAACTGTTCATTCAAACCTTCTAAAAACTATTTTGTAGGTATTAGATTTTTTTTAGATTGTTTTTTAGACTCACCAGCCTCTTCATGTTTCACTGGACAGAACACTGGGTTGTGGTAGCTTTGGTAGGTTCTCTTTGGTATGTTGACACAAGATCCAAATATCTAGTTTATATCTCTCTTTGGTCAATGTTTTTAAAAGCTGCTCAGACTTGCGGCCTGTGCATTTATCAACCCTGACCCGACCCACCCCGATAAATGCACAGGCCACGACTTGTTTAGAAAGATGTATTTCTGTTCTACGCATATTTAAATAGTTTTCTTGATGTGCTTTAATGTGTATGAAATCAAATTATCTGATAAAAGTTGTACAAGTCAAAGTTCAATCCAAAAAAATTATAAATCTGAAAATTTATTAATTAAAAATATCTTGTTCATATTAATGTTAGGTTAAATGTATGTTTTGGAAAAAACAAGATCCTCAATTTAATCCAAGTATTGAATAAGAAAACGAAGTGATTTCTTAAACTCATATATAAGTGGGGGAATGGGTAGGGCGTATAAGGGACAGTGTCAGCCTAGTGTTTAGGCATCGCCCTTGCCCACCTCTCCCCAAGGGGACAGATCAAATGCAGAGGTGAATTTTTCCAAAGTTAGAATAACAAAATTCAGTCATTATAAAAGCAGACATGATCTGTTTTGGGGTAAGTAGTACAACAACTGAAACAGAGAACTCAGCTGTCAACCTAAAAGTAAATATACACAAAAAACCATTTATAGTTTTCATTATTATCTGAAACCACTGGCATGATGTCAACAGATTTGCTTATAAGATTTCTATGGTTCACATCTCGGGATCAAACACACCGTTTAAAACTTTTTTTGGTCTGAAAAAAGGATGCAACTGATTAACATACTTTACATTGTTTATGTTTGTTTACACTCACGACCTCTTCATGGTTCACTGCCGGACAGGACACAGAACACTGGGTTGTGGTAACTGTAGTAGGTTCTCATGACACCTGAATGGAGACACTGCTGTGGCTGAGAAATGAATATCAAATCAAGTTGTGTGAGTTTCTCTGTCGTGGGGGAAGAAATCAACTGTACAAATCCTCGAGACCGAAACAGCTCCAAAATTGGCTTTGATGACCTGGATAACTGGTTTTCATTAAAGTCTCCACAAACAATGACAGGGTGACAGTCTAACATCTCGAGGGCATCCAGAAGGCTTACCAGATTTTGAAGGAATGGTTTTAGGCTGTAGTCAGGTGGTCTGTACACAGCTGCAATCACTGCACTGAAGGGAGCCTCAACCTTCAAAGCAACATACTCAAGATCAATCACATTGGTCAAATACTGTCTTTCACGCACCTGAAAGTTGTTTCTCACATAAACAGCAACCCCACCACCACCTTTGCTGGCCATCTGAGGAAAGTTAGTGTAGGATGCATGTCTGTTGCGTTTGAACATGTTGTAACCATCCAGATGAAGATCGTCTGCAACAAAAGAGCCTTTCAGATGAGTTTCAGTAAAACACAACACGTCTGCCAGACACAACTCATGATGTTTCTGAATGTCATCAATGTGAGCTTGAAGTCCCTCTGTGTTGTGATGAACAAGGGTAAGAGTGTCAGACCTGTCTACTAGTTCCTTAACCAGAAGAAGAGGCATCATGTGATCCATGTTGGCTTGTTTCATCGTCTGGAGAGCTGTAGAGACTTCAGGATTGGCAAATATTTTCCTTTCATTCAAGTCCAGTAGATACAGCCCACTGAGAGACGTCACCCTGCTAAGAGCTACATACAGGTGCTGGTCATAAAATTAGAATATCATGAAAAAGTAGATTGATTGATTTCAGTAATTCTATTTAAAAAGTGAAACTTGTATATTATATTCATACATTACATACAAACTCATATATTTCAGATGTTTATTTTGTTTAATTTTGATGATTACAAATGACAACAAATGAAAATCTCAAATTCATCATATCAGAAAATTAGAATATTACTGAAGACCAATAAAAACAAAGGATTTATAGAAATGTTGGCCAACTGAAAAGTATGAACATGAAAAGTATGAGCATGTACAGCACTCAGTATTTAGTTGGGCCTCCTTTGGCCTGTATTACTGCAGCAATGCGGCGTGGCATGGAGTCGATCAGTCTGTGGCACTGCTCAGGTGTTATGATAGCCCAGGTTGCTCTAATAGTGGCTTTTAGCTCTTCTGAATTGTTGGGTCTGGTGTATTGCATCTTCTTCTTCACAATACCCCATAGATTTTCTATGGGGTTAAGGTCAGGAGAGTTTGCTGGCCAATTAAGAACAGGGATACCATGGTCCTTCAACCAGGTACTGGTAGCTTTGGCACTGTGTGCAGGTGCCAAGTCCTGTTGGAAAATGAAATCTGCATCTCCAAAAAGTTGGTCAGCTGCAGGAAGCATGAAGTGCTCTAAAACTTCCTGGTATGTGGCTGCGTTGACCCTGGACCTCAGAAAACACAATGGACCAACACCAGCAGATGACATGGCACCCCAAACCATCACTGACTGTGGAAACTTTACACTGGACTTCAAGCAACGTGGATGAAGTGCCTCTCTTCTTTTCCTCCAGACTCTGGGACCTTGATTTCCAAAGGAAATGCAAAATTTACTTTCATCAGAGAACATGACTTTGGACCACTCACCAGCAGTCCAGTCCTGTTTCTCTTTAGCCCAGGCAAGACGCTTCTGACGCTGTCTGTGGTTCAAGAGTGGCTTGACACAAGGAATGCGACAGCAGAAACCCATGTCTTTCATACGTCTGTTTGTGGTGGTTCTTGAAGCACTCACTCCAGCTGCAGTCCACTCTTTGTGAATCTCCCCCACATTTTTGAATGGGTTTTGTTTCACAATCCTCTCCAGGGTGCGGTTATCTCTCTTGCTTGTACACTTTTTTCGACCACACCTTTTCCTTCCCTTCGCCTCTCTATTAATGTGCTTGGACACTGAGCTCTGTGAACAGCCAGCCTCTTTAGCGATGACCTTTTGTGTCTTGCCCTCCTTGTGCAAGGTGTCGATGGTCGTCTTTTGGACAACTGTCAAGTCAGCAGTCTTCCCCATGATTGTGTAGCCTATAGAACTAGACTGAAAGACCATTTAAAGGCTTTTGCAGGTGGTTTGAGTTAATTAGCTGATTAGAGTGTGGCACCAGGGGCCATCAATTTTGAACCTTTTCACAATATTCTAATTTTCTGATATGATGAATTTGAGATTTTCATTTGTTGTCATTTGTAATCATCAAAATTAAACAAAATAAACATCTGAAATATATGAGTTTGTATGTAATGTATGAATATAATATACAAGTTTCACTTTTTAAATGGAATTACTGAAATCAATCTACTTTTTCATGATATTCTAATTTTATGACCAGCACCTGTAAGCCATACCTGGTTCAAAGATTTTCTGCAGTGACACCACAGCTGCATGTGTTGTGAGGCCCTGGGTTTTATGAACAGTGCACGCGAAAGCCAGCTTCACTGGAAATTGTCTACGTACCACTCCGTTCTTTAGATTCTCCTCTGCTCTCTCGACGTAAACCAGATTGGCAGTTTCTGCAGGTCCACTTTGGTTTCTGGTCACACCTTTCTGATGATCCATTGTCAGGCCCAGCTTAGAGATGCTTTGATCACCCTCAGAAGTGACAAAAGATGTTAGTGTACCAAAGGCACCATTAACCAGACCATTTTGTACATCAATGTTTCTAGTAAGCATAACGCGTGAGCTTTCGGCTAATTTCAGAGTGTCAGCCAAATCATTTCTGCCTCCCTTACATGGTTTTTCTCTCCGTACCATTCTGCCTGTACGTGGATCTTTCTGAAAGTCATCTGCATCAATAGTGATTATGTTGGAATGTAACAAAGTCAGTGTTGCAGAGTTGTGTTCGTCAACCAACTTATTAGTTGGAAAAATATGCAGTACCTCAGTGGGACAAAGGGCTGGTTCTGTAATGCGCTGTGACAACAAATCTCTGTCAGCCTGGGACAGCTCATCAGTCTTTTCTTTCACTCGAATCCTGTTCAGCATCTCTGCAAAGACAACATCATCTTTCTGTCTCATTATCTCAGTCAGAGTGACCATCTGAAAATGCTCCTGCCAAAGGTCAATGTCAGTCGGATCGTGCACACAGAGAGGCTTAGACTGTCGCACAGGAGGTAACTGAAAGAAGTCCCCGACGGCCAAAACGGACATCCCACCAAACGGTCTCTGATTACCTTTGATCTGTTTCATTCGTGCATCCACATAAGCAAAGAGGGGCTTAGAAACCATTGAGATCTCATCGATAATGATGATTTGGGCGTTGAAAAGTTCCGACCTGAGTTCATCCAGCTGGTTACCAAGTCCTTGAATCGGTGGCTTCAGACTGCGTGGGAGCTTCAGTAAAGAGTGAAGTGTTGTTCCACAGATGTTGAAAGCTGCAGTTCCAGTAAAAGCTGTTAGCAAAACAGTTGGACTAGAAATATCAGCCTCCTCTGAAAGTACCTGCAACTTGTTCAGTATCTTACGGGCCTCTGAGTAGATGCATCGGATAAGTTGTGACTTCCCCACGCCTCCGCCTCCGGACACAAATAGGTGAAAAGCATCGGGGTTCTGACCATTCACAAGTTTAATGCACCAGTCTCTGATTGCATAGAACACACAGGCCTGCTTCTGGTTCAGGTTCTGATACATCTGTCTCAGTACAGCAGGATCCATAGCTGGGGGTTCCTTAAAGGCTCTCATTTCTGTGGTAGGAGCAGACTGAGGACAAAAGTCTGGTACATTTTCCTGTTCATTGTCTGGCTCTGGCGGCTGAAGTTCATCATCACACTGCAACCTCACAACTTCGGATTCAGGGGCAAGATTACACCATTCATCGATCACAAGATCTCTGTTATCCTCAAACTCCTCGAGAGCTTTCTCAATATCCTCAGTGTTTTTCTCATATTTGTCTCTGTTTCTTTCAACAATGCTTCTCACACTCTCAGGATTGTTTGAACCTGGTAGTTGGACATAGGCAGAGTTGTAAAAGGATGCATAGGTTGGAAAATGCACGCTTCGAATTTCAAATTCAGATCTGTGAGGAAGGTACACTCTCAGTAATCTGGCATAAAATTGCTCAGGATCTTTTTCCTTTGAACAGTTGTAATATCTGATGACGGAGGGCTTATAATTTTTCCGCCTCTGGACAAATCCAAGCTGATTGAGAAGAGGTAAGACACCATCAGTGTTGACCTTGTCTGAACTCACAAACCTGCAGGTAGCTGCAAAATCCGCTAAACACATCTCCTCATACTCGGATGTCTCAGGTCTGGCTTTGTATTTATCACTCAAACTGCTCATCCAGACATTGCTAGAATCCGGTGGCATGTCCTCCAAGAATGACATGGGGCGACTCATTTCCACAGGATTGTCATCGGTAGGGATGAAGACGACACTGCGGGAACACCTTCTCATCTTTAGTCCACATGCACGAGCCACACACTCCTGAGCACTAACCTCCCTCTTTTTTGAATAAGCCTGCATGACAGCTCTCATCTCATCACACTCGTTAACTCTGTCCATGTCTGAGCTGGCGATGACTGTTTTTAGGTACTCTGATAGACCACTTTCCTTCTTGGTGATGTATTTTGTCAGATACTGTATACAAGAGTAAGCATTCAGTATGTAAGACACATCGATGTTAGCGTCCCAGGCTTTGAGCAGATGTGCGTTGTACCCATTTATCCAGCAGTCTTTGGGATCGCGCTTCAGGTAGATTGCAGTTTTTTTGCTCATACGGTGAAGGCAACCTTCATACTCCGCAAGTGTCAACTCGCATCGAGAAAGGATCTGCTCTAAACTCATGGACGCCACTTCTGGTTCATTCAGCAGCAGCATCAGAGGTCTTAGTTTGTTCTTTGCACTTTCAGTGTCATCTTCCTCTTCCTCCTCCCCAATGGCTCTGGAGATCATTGTTCGTGTACAAGGGGGCTTTGGAAAACCAAACCGACAACCAGAGTTCACACTCTTGAAACAAGACCTCGTGTGGTTCCTACTGTGCTTTTGAAGTTCATTGACTTTCTGGTAAAGTTCAGGTTGTGTGTCAGGGTCAGGAAGTTGTGCTGAGATGTATTTGTCAACAAAATCGCACACAGTTTGATCATCTGACTTCTCTAACTCAGGAGCACCCTCAACCCAAACCAGACCATGGATGTGTGGGCTTCCTCTGTGCTGAAACTCCACTCTGTGGAAAAAATCAATCACTCTCCCCAAAGGCTGAGCATCTGACAGCAGCAAGTCTCTGTAAAGCGCCTCCACTCGCTTATCAAACATACGCATGCAAGTGACAGGATTAGATCGCAGAATCTCAGACTTTGCAGTCCAATCAAGAGCCTCAAAATCAACCTCCTCACCTTGTTGTCTCTTTATTGCTTCAATGACTTCAGGCCATCGGAACTCAGCAGCTGAAAAAGTGAGGAAAAATGTAGGATTTCCCAATGCTCTGATCATGGCAAACAGATCTTTTCTGGTTTTCTCCCAGAAAGCTGGAGTGCCTCTGAGTGGCTGCATGAATCTGACTGCATCTTTATTTCTCACCAGTTTCTCAACCTCGTGTTTGTCCTGTAACATGCTTGAGGTTATTCTGCGCCCATCTCTGGTCTTAGTTTTACCTTTTCTTAGCTGTATGGTCATGCTATTGTTAGCCAGATTTACCTCTGTCACAAACTGTGCAAAGAACAAGTAGTTTGGGTCTCTGGCAAACCGATCATCTGTATGAAAAAGACGAGACTTAAAATATCCACTTGGTGTGACTTTAAGAGGTCTCTTTTGGTCTAAAGTATTCTCACCAGTTGGAAACTGTACGGGAAATGACATTGATTCCAAATTTGGGGTCTTGAAAAAACTGACTGGATTATTTCTTTCTGCAGGGGCCACACAATAAGCACCATCAGAGAAACAGAGAATTTCTTCCGATATGTCAAGAGGCTGAAGGCATGATTCTAGAGCAAATCCTCCATTGGGCATATCTCCCTCTTCTCCATCATTTTGCTGTTGTTGTGGTTGCTCACATCCACTGTCCTGATCACTTTCAGGCTCATTTTCTCTCTCACACTGAGCATTTCTCTCAAAAATGTCAATTTCCATTAGCTCTTCCTCACCATAGTCATCATCCTCCATGCTTACATCACTGTCATCATCCTCATCATCAGGAAGTGTGGGGTCACATAGCTCAGCTTCATCCCTGATAGTTATGTCTTTATACTCTGGATGAATCCGCTTCAGTTTCAGTAACGCAGAGATTAGCTTGGGCCACTGTACTGTCTGAAAAACTGAATGACCTCTAAAACACAAACGCCGCTTTAACTTCACTCGCAACACCTGAGACTCGCTCCTCAGTCTGGGTAAAGCATGAACAGTTTCTTCAACCTCTGATGGAACACACACAACGTTTCCTCTTATCAGTCGTTGTCTACCCCTTGGGAGAGGGACTATCTTAGCAAATGGTATAACTTTGGAAATAAGGTGCCTTTCTAGGATATTTAAATCTGAAAGAACACAGGGAATCTCTGCCAACCATAATTTGTTCGCTGCTGCTAGGCGTGGCATGCATCCTTTCTTCAGATGTTTGTGGCAGGTGTGACAAATCCACTCTTTCTTTCTCTCATCAGGAAATGCGCACTGTTCATTTCTGCAGCCCTCATTACAAATATGGACATACTTTCCTGTGAGACACTGTCTTACCACATCTGGTTTCTTAACATAATTTGACCTTGTACAGAGTTTGACTTGATTAGGGAATGAAGACTTGTGACACACAGTGCAGACATAAGTGGGACCAGCTTTTATGTTCAATCTAAAAACTGAAATGGCTTCATTGATCAGTCTGATCTCAGGTGTCACATTTTGTAGAATATGTGTTTCTTTGTTTTCTGTTTCTCTCTGATGGTATCTTTTCATTTGTCTGTATTTTCCTTTAATGTTCATTGCACATCTGATGTTATGCCTCCTCTGGTAGCGAAAATTGTTATGGTAAATCTCTTTCATTCGTTTTTTCATCAGCTGTTTGTGCTTCAGCCTGAATTCTGTGTTTTTGGAATACATCTCAGTAATATAACATCTTTGTCTCTGTCTAAATGTTGGATTATTCTTGTAGGAATCTGTAATATATATTTTTTGTCTTTCTCTAAATGTCTCATTTTGCTTATATGATCTCTTGATGTAGTCCTTTTGTCTTTCTCTAAATGTTGGATTGTCCTTGTATGACTTTTTAATATATGATTTCTGTTTCTCTCTAAACTCAGCATTCTCTCTATATTTTTTTCTTGTGTACAGGTTTAGCTTAAGCTTATTATCAGGGTGGTTTTGATAACTGCTTGAGTAAGATCTTTTCTTTGCTCTGTAGCTTTCGTTAGAAGCATAGTTTTCTCTTTCTTTCTTTTTTTGATTCTCTCTTCGTTTGCTTTGTTTTTCTGTCACAGTTTGTCTCATTTTTCTCTTTCTTTCTTTTTTATTATACTTTGACAGTTTAGAAGAGATTTCTTGAAAAGCACTAGTTTCTTTTTTCTCTCCACTTGTAGTAGGGAATGCCATATTTTCTTGTGTTGCAGGTGACATAAATTTGATCTTATCAGAAACATCTTGGATTACATCATCTGAAAGAGCACTTACAACAGGGTTCATAACGTCAGTAGAGGAATTTGAATCATGTCCAGGGAAATTATGTTTAAGGTATTTTGATTCAGCTCTTTGTGGAACAGCATCTGTTCCATCTGACCTTTCTGGTAAAATGTTGCCACGCTGATTGCCAGATGTTTGTGTGTCTGGTTCAATGATATCTTCATTTGGCCGGGAAGTACCTACTGGGTCTGAAACATTTCTCTGGTTGCATGCATTTACACTATAAAATGACAGGGGCTGCAGTTCAAAAGGACATGACAAATTTATGCCAAGCGTTGTGAAGATCAATGATATCCTCTGAATCATGTCACTCAAATTGGTGAATTTCAGCATCACAGCAGTACCAAACTCACACACACTGGATCTTGGCAATCCATGCTTGTTCCTTGTGTGTGGGTCAAAGAATCCATACTGACCAGACCTGCTTCTGAAAACAGCAATGCATAACGCTGACATGATCAGCAGCCCATACTGTATACCTGATGACAAACGGCGCAGTGCTTGTTCCAGACTCTGATAACGTGCTCCACCTCCAAAGCTTCCACACACAGGAGCCTGCATCATGTCCACCTGGTACTTTGCACGGCGTGCAATTACTTCATGTGGGAGTTCATCGGTTGCCAAGTGGACGCTCTTAGGAAACCTTTGTAGAGCTTGTCTGTACACAACATCCCCTTTATCCAAAACTAGGTCAAGATCTAGTCTGCCAATGTTTTCATTCTCATGAAGAAATGCTAGAAATACCAAACTGTTTGCAACACACTGGCTGTTCCTGGATTTCCCATATTTGAATGAAGCCTGACTGCGTGAGGCACAGACATGCGTTTCTGACGGCTGAGGTACATTTACTTGATGTTCATGAGACTTTCCAGCATCAACACGTGCTTTTTTCACCACATCAGCATAAGACACCTGTGAAACCTTCCGCTTAACCTGTTTTGCATCATTCTGTAAAGCTTTTGTGACAATGCTCTCATCAGAAGGTGCTACATCACTGCAGTTTACCTGCTGTCCAGCTGAACACTCTACATCACTGTGAGGTCCTCCATTTACATCGGCACACGATACCTTCTCAAACACCAGGTTGTCCTGAGAGCTGCTATTTTCTATTTGTTTACTTTGACTCTCTTTCTCCTTCCATCTGAGCTTCTGAGCCTGAGAGCGCTGATTCTTTCGAGGCATTGTTACTGTCAAAACCTCAACGCTTACCTGTAAATGTTTCAATACACCAACACACTATACAATCACTTTTAACTACAGTTTTAAAATATCAGTATCTTTTAGGTCAGAATAAACTATCAACACTGTAGAACTGATGTCAGACCTACTTTAAAGAACAGTCTGAAAAAATCTCTCCAACGAAATGGTTAAGTTCACCACTCTTACAATATTAAATCTTTGGTTTAGTTACCAGTCCGTAAAACCTTAACTTAAAAAAAAAAACCTTTTTACAAATGCAAAACCAGATTTTTATATTTTAATATTACTGAACTATAGCTTGTATTAAAAAAGAAACGTATCCAGAAATGTGCTGAAAACAAATGAGCCCAATGCACTTTCTGGATTTACAGTTAGCCTTTACTTTCACACAAAAATATATTAATATAGGTGGAAAACACTACTTCAAATGTTCTAATGAAGATCAGGAACGCAGCAGGAGACGCTTCTGGTAGCTGGAGTCCACTTCTGGTCAGGTTGTTACCCTAGAACTGCTGAGCTTATAAAATACACAAACTTGGAATTTTAAACTTGCCTCAGATATCTTTTGATGCAATATCAAGACTTGACCAATATCTATTTTTTTCTTAGTTAACCAATGTATACACTCTGCTCTAAAATAATGTAAAAAAAAAAAAAACCACAAGCTGACAGTGAATTGTTTTAGTAATAAATTTTACAGGAAACCCAGCTTTAACTGGCTTCTGCAGCTGTCAGAAAGTCAAAATTCGGTATATTACGTTTCTTTAAAAAATTAAGATTTAAAGAAATTATTACACAGGAATATCTTATAATAAAACTAGCAAAAATAACCAGTAGATTGATGAAACTGTCAAATTCTCAGATTCTGATCAATGGAATGAATTATATGTCTGGGGTAGACTGATTCTGATCAGGTCAAAGAGTAAACAGACACACTTGTCTCCTTTTATTTCAATGTGCTTTTATTTCAGCAGGAACAACAAACCTTTGGTAAATCCACAGCATACAGTACCTCAGCCAAAGCAGTGGAGCAGGAATCTCTCGAGGTCTCGAACAGTTTAGAAAGTTGCAGGGTAATATGAAAACCCCAATCAAGCACTTGTTCACTTGATATTGATATTTTTTTGCAATGAAATCAGGGAGTCTCAAAAGAGACTAGTGCCATGAAAACAGGGGGTCTCAAAAGAGACTAGTGCCATGAAAACAGGGGGTCTCAAAAGAGACTAGTGCCATGAAACCATTTGTGAAAACTTGAATTCCAGAAACCATTTGTGAAAAACTTGAATGCCAGAAACAATTTTGAAGAATTTCTAGTGGAAACACAGGTCAGAAGAGAGACAGTAAACACTGGTTGCCAATACCCAGGTTTGTAAAGAAAAGAGAGAAAGTAAACTCTGGTCACCTGTAGACCAGGTTTATGAATTAAGGAAAACCAGAACACCTATTGGGATAACTGGTTATGGAAACAGTTGAAGAAAACGGATAGGATAATGCACAGTAAATGGGGTTCCAGATTAGTTGGAACAGGAAAAGGAAGATAAACACAGCTCGAAACAAAATGTCCAATAGTGGTGAGAAGAGGCTGGTCCGGAGAATACCTGTAAGACAAATAGACATCTGTGAGACACTTGTGATAATCAAACAAGGAAGGAGAGAAAGGAGCACAAAAAGTGAAAAGCAGGAAACAGGAGGGGAAAGAGTTCAAAAGGAGCAAGAGGAGGAGAAAAGAGCTGGAAAGGTGTGAGAGGAGGAAGACAGAAGGGAGGAGAAAGAAAGGATAATAAAGATTGGAGAATTAGAAGAAGATCAAAACATCAATCATTTCAATAATCTTAAGCTCAATTTCATTTCAATGATCCAAATTATGAACAGGTGTTTAGCGACTACAATTTAGGAACAAAACTGAAATATAAACTATGGCTGGTGTGAACTGGCTGCTAGCTGTATTTTCATAGAACCTTTTTTAAGAGTGGAGATTCAAGCATTCTTAGAGGCATATATATATATATATATATATATATATATATATATATATAATCAGGGCTTGATTCTAACCATTGCCCAATCTCCCGGGGCAGGTAGTTTTTATTGTCGGGAGAGAACAAATTTCATTGCATTTGCACGCCGGGCAAGTGCAATGATCACAAAAAAAAAATATTAATTACTCAAAATTACTTTAAAATCACCAACATTCGCTTAAAAAAGGACCCACAAGCGTTGCCGGCGCCATTTTTGTTGTTTTGTACACATTCTCGCGTGATTTGAAAAAGTCGCAAGATTTTCGGCCAGATGGCGTGATTTTTGTCCGGGAATTTGCGTGAATCAGACACATTTTTTACGACTTGGCAGGCTTAAAAACAACAAGGCAAAAAAAGTAGAGTAACACCCCCACCACCTAATTTTCCCTCCACCCATTTCACCCACCCCCCAGATAACCCTAGATTAAAAATTAGCGGTCAGGTATTAGGAAAATTGCCATAATTGTATGCCATGCCCACAGTGTAAATATGGCTATCATATATCAGTCTTCTGTACAGTGATGCAGGTCATACATTAAAAAATGTTCATTAAATTTTTTTCTCTTAGACATTGGAGAGGTGCATTTAAATGTTATAGAGCTAAACATGTTAGATTGGTGACCTGTTATGCTATTATTATTGTCTTGTTGCTGCATTTATTTTGTCAGGGAAAACTAATCCTGAGTCAGTTAAAAGTCAGGGAATTCTGAAATGATGTCAGACTGTGGAAACCCTGAATACAATAATTATGTATAATGATTCTCTAGAAAAGTCACATTATATTAATAGTATTATCTTGTATAAACATACTGTGACTCTAAATTAAAAGTTATTCATTTGTGACATTGATTTCTGTCTTCTGATTAATCTTAAGTTTTTAACCTGTCAAGTTTTTTTTATATTTTTAACATTATAATTTATATTTTTCCAAGCACACAACAGTTTAAAGCAAAGTTTAGTTTAAAAAGAATGTGCAGGAAGGATTGAAAAGCATGTTAACACGGTAATGTAGGCTGGAGTTCATTATCTGACGCATGCAGATACACACCAGGAACCTGGAAACTTAAAAATTACTGAACTATATTTATCAAACATTATACTGGGCAAGTGAAAATTGTTTCTGGGCAAATGAAATGTGAAAGTGCAAGTGCTAAAAATCCCTAACGTCAACCCCTGTAGATATATGTATATATATATATATATATATATATATATATATATATATATATATATATATATATATATATATATATATATATATATATATATATATACACACACATACATACATACATGTTTTATTTAAAAATCCACTCACCAGCAAAGCAGGAGATCCGGTTCGGTTCTCTCTGGGAGCAAGAGGAGAAAGATTTTATTAGTGACTGATCCAAAAACCATCAGAAATCCAGAACACATTTTACTCGCTCCTACACACCTAGCGCTGTACCTAAGGACAAAAACGAAAGGAAATCACCAGGTTATTCCTAATATTTCTGTTAAGTCTAATTAATGAGGAAAAATATTGAATGTGTCTTTAGCACAAAATAGAAACAAGTCTATGAAGAAACAGACAGGAGCCAAAAATGACTAGTTTAGACATAATTACTGCAATCAATGCAAGAGATATAAATTAAATGTTTTGAGCATCAGTGGATAAGATTGTTTATTATCTTTTATCCAGACACTCAACATTTGCAGATCAGTGTGTGTCTTGTTGGACTGATAAAAGCCTCTTCAATAATGAAGGTTACAGAACCCTGTTCTAGCGGAGGAGGCCAACAGGTTATTTAAAAAATAAAATAAAATTGTTTTTTTTTTTTATTAAATTCCCCAATTCAATCACTACTTTGACTATTATATTATGAATTTAATTTAGATATACAGTCAGGAGCTGTGTGCAGTCCTCCAGGTACTCGGTACATTACCCAAAAAAAATAAAAATAACTTACCAGTCAGAGCCAGAGCTCACAACAATGTGAGGTTAGTCTGCAAGAAATCAGAAAAACAGCATTTCAGTTTTCACTGTAAACCCAGAAAAAAGAAAAACTTGCACTGACATTGATGACAAATGCTGTTTTATCCAGAAACTCAACATTTGCAGGTCTATGTATAGATTTTGTTGGACTCAGAAAAGCTCTTTGCAGATCCCTGTTCTAGACCAACATTACAGTTCTAAAAAGGTTCACAATAACTCTGTTCTTACCAGACACAGAGGAGGTCAGCAGGTTATTTCAGTCTGAAAAAAATAACAAGTTTATTAGTTTTTATACTACAAACACTGTATAAACATTGTAAGCAGTTTTTCTTAAATATTTATGCTATCATGATTAGGGCTGAATCAATTAATCAGATTAATCTTGATTATTCAATTATTAAAATATTTGTCAACTAATTTAGTAATCGATTAATCGTTAACTGGAGAATAGAAACTAAAACATGACTTGAGCTGACAGAGAAATCCATGTAGAGCAGGATTATACCAAGACTGTAAAAAAAAAGTATAAACAAACATTTTCATTTATCAATTTGCTCTATTCAGAACTCTTTGAGTGGAAAGTTTCAGTGTAATCTGGTTTAATTAAATAAAAAGTCTTCTTCAAGGAACTTTTGACTATCTGATTAATAATTAGAAACATAATCAACAGATTTATTGATTTGCAAAATAGTCAATAGTTGCCTCCCTTACTAAAGAGGTCTGATTTTCTGACTCATTATTTCATAAATATTTCTTCAGAGCAATATTAAAGATATCCAGTTTTCAAATTTATAGCTGCAATTAAATCAGCTAAAGAACATCTGGTTATCAAAATAGAAAAAAAGAAAGCTATTAACCGAATATAGATACGCATTTTCAAAAAGATATAAAAACGTATAAATCAAATCCTGAAGCAAAACAACTTCATATCATGTCATATCATAAACACAGACACTGGGACAACTTTTTATACATAGATGGTCCACCTTGGATGGCTGTTCTAGAAATTAATACAACATATTTCTAGATGTGATGAGTGAAACGTTTTCTGAATCCGCATTGAAAACACATTAATATAAATTAGCTTTTAAAACCTTTAGCCACAGCCACTAACGTTTGCTATCAGAACCGGGTCGGGCTTGGACCGTTAGCCGCAGCCGCTAATGTTTGCTATCAGAACCGGTTCGGGCTTGGACCGTTAGCCGCAGCCGCTAATGTGTGCTATCAGAACCGGGTCGGGCTTGGACCATCAGCCGAAGCCACTAATTTGTGCTATCAGAACTGGGTTGGGCTCCGACGGTTAGCCGCAGCCGCTAATGTGTGCTATCGTAACCGGTTTGGGCTTCAACCGTTAGCCGCACCCCCTAATGTGTGCTATCAGAACCGGGTCGGGCTTGGACCATTAGCGGCAGCCGCTGATGTGTGCTATCAGAACCGGGTCGGGCTTGGACCATCAGCCGAAGCCACTAATGTGTGCTATCAGAACCGGGTTGGGCTCCGACGGTTAGCCGCAGCCGCTAATGTGTGCTATCGTAACCAGTTTGGGCTTCAACCGTTAGCCGCAGCCCCTAATGTGTGCTATCAGAACCGGGTCGGGCTTGGACCATTAGCGGCAGCCGCTGATGTGTGCTATCAGAACCGGGTCGGGCTTGGACCATCAGCCGAAGCCGCTAATGTGTGCTATCGTAACCAGTTTGGGCTTCAACCGTTAGCCGCAGCCCCTAATGTGTGCTATCAGAACCGGGTCGGGCTTGGACCATTAGCGGCAGCCGCTGATGTGCTATTAAACCAGGTCGGGCTTTGACAGCTAGCCGAAGCCACTAATTTTTGCTATCAGAACCGGGTCGGGCTTGGACCGTTAGCCGCAGCCGCTAATGTGTGCTATCAGAACCGGGTCGGGCTTGGACCGTTAGCCGCAGCCACTAATGTGTGCTATCAGAACCGGGTTGGGCTCCGACGGTTAGCCGCAGCCGCTAATGTGTGCTATCGTAACCAGTTTGGGCTTCAACCGTTAGCCGCAGCCCCTAATGTGTGCTATCAGAACCGGGTCAGGCTTGGACCATTAGCGGCAGCCGCTGATGTGTGCTATCAGAACCGGGTCGGGCTTGGACCATCAGCCGAAGCCGCTAATGTGTGCTATCGTAACCAGTTTGGGCTTCAACCGTTAGCCGCAGCCCCTAATGTGTGCTATCAGAACCGGGTCGGGCTTGGACCATTAGCGGCAGCCGCTGATGTGCTATTAAACCAGGTTGGGCTTTGACAGCTAGCCGAAGCCACTAATTTTTGCTATCAGAACCGGGTCGGGCTTGGACCGTTAGCCGCAGCCGCTAATGTGTGCTATCAGAACCGGGTCGGGCTTGGACCATCAGCCGAAGCCACTAATGTGTGCTATCAGAACCGGGTTGGGCTCCGACGGTTAGCCGCAGCCGCTAATGTGTGCTATCGTAACCAGTTTGGGCTTCAACCGTTAGCCGCAGCCCCTAATGTGTGCTATCAGAACCGGGTCGGGCTTGGACCATCAGCCGCAGCCGCTAAGGTGTGCTATCAGAACCGGGTCGGGCTTTGATCATCAGCCTCAGCTGCTATTGTTTCCTATCAGAACCGGGTCGGGCTTGGACCGTCAGCCGCAGCCATAGGGCATTAACTGTTAGCCACAGCAGCTAATATGTGCTATCACTGATCAGAACGGGGTAGGGCATTAACTGTTAGCCACAGCAGCTAATATGTGCTATCAGAACCGGTTAGGGCATTAACTGTTAGCCACATCCGCTAATGTGTGCTATCAGAACAGGGTTGGCCTTTAACTGTTAGGAACCGCCGCTAATGCTGGTGCAAACCAGTCAGAACCAGTTCAGAGGTTGGGACATATAGCCGTTTCTAGTTTTATTAAACAGCGGTTCTAAGCCCTAATTATATTTCACAACCCATGTATTTAAAAACACATAGCTCTGTATATAACACATTTATTCCAGCGTTCATATTAATGTTATATAAGACAGAGCGAACGTAGCTACTTACCCTTCAGATGAATGGAGCTGAATGGCAGCATCTCCTCCAGGTCGGACAGCAAAGGGAAAAGGATGAGGCATTCAAGAACATTCGGAAATGTTCTTTTCGGTGCAGCATTCATACTTAAGTTTTAATATTATTTCATATTTATATTTTTATTTAAATATAAATGTTGAGGATAGTTAATTTATTAAATTTGATTCTACTTAATTAATTATTACTTAAATTCTACTTAATTTCATCTGAATTATTCAATTGAACATTCAGAAATCATTTCTTCACACATCTCAAAGCACTTTGTTCCTTTTTATTGAGTCTCCTGAGTAAACTTTGAACAGCATGGGTGTTATATGTTTTACAATAAAACTTTTTTCATCTTTGCCTTTAGAATAAAACAAAAGCTGGCAAATAGCTTCTCACCTGTGAGACGGAGTTGACCAGACGTATAAACGTGAATGCCTCATTAAAAGAACTTATTTTTCATTCATGTGTAATGACAATAAAAGGTGTATTTTTGGTGTGGCTACTTCAGGCTGCTCATTAGAATGATTAAGATTTATGAACGTTTTTTAATGGCTATAATTTAATCTCAATATAAAAATTTAACTGAACTATATCAATATTGACACCGATTTTCATACAGGCTGCTGTGGGCAACTCAGCATTTTCCTTATGAGCCTACATGATGTTGTATCGAACAAATGCCTGTAACTGTGTCTTAATAAGTCTTACCAATGTAATTCTTGCTCCATTTAATTCATAATGGATTGGAGAACGAAGCTTTAGGACTGTTTTTGTTCAAAATGTTTTTGAAAAGACACAGCACTCTGTGAAAAAGAGGGAAATTGGCAAAAAGTGAAAAATATACGCGAAAGTTTGTGTTGAACTATGGTTAATACATCAAAACCTATAGTAGATATTGATATGAATGCTTAACCATGTGAATCAGCATCTTTGAGGAACGATTATACCAGCTCTCATGTTTTAATTATGTTGCCTTAGTGACTATGTAAAAAAGGGGGACATTTTGATTTAGACAGATTTATTTGTAATTTTAAATTGCAATTGGGAAATTACGTTTGTAACAGCTCTCTGGACAATTTTATCTTTTCAAAATTTCAAAAGTGCAGCCTTTAAAAATAGTTAAAATAATAATAATAATAAAGAATATATATATATATATATATATATATATATATATATATATATATATATATATATATATGAAGTAATATAAACATATGACTGTAAATTTACAGTTCTATCATTTTTTTATAATGATAAAATATTACAAATATAATAAAATACAATACAATAGCCCATTTTGCAAAAACATTCAGCAGTTTAATGGCAGTGAGGAAGAAACTATTGTGGAACCTGCTGGACCTGCATTGAATGCTGTGAAGCCTCTTCCCAGAGGGCAGCAGGGAGAACAGTCCATGGTGGGGGGGTGAGGGGTCATTTATGATGTTACCGATCTGGGACACGCAGCGCTGGGATGAAATGTCTTTAATGGGGGGAAGAGGAGCCCCCATGATCCTCTCTGCTGTTCTCATCCCACTCCTCACTTTCTTCCAGTCTGAGGCGCTGCAGCCTCCACACCACACAGTGAAACAGCTGGTTAGAATGCTCTCTATGGTGCTTTTGTAGAAGGTGGTGAGGATGGGTGGGGGCAGGTGGGCTCTACTCATTCTCCGCAAAGTACATGCAAAAAATGAAATGTTTCAGTTGGAAATTTGAAAGATTTCATGCCCCCAAACAAAGTAGTTGCATGGCCAAAGGTTACATGATATTAAAAAAATTCCTTCAATATGAACTCTAGACATTTCTGATGATTATATGTGCCAAGCCTCATGTTTGTAAATCAACCACTTTGAAAGAGGCAGTGAAGTGTTTTTTTAGCCACCATCTCCAATTACTGGCCTGGCTTAATTGCCTCTATGATGTCCTGCAAATGCCAATAACTTTGGCATAATAAGTCATGTCGATATGATTCTTGCACCGTGTAACTCAGGACAGATTGGCGAATCGACACTGGAGTCTTATTTTGAAAGTCTAGCAGGGTTGTGTGTTGAGAAAAGGGTCAGACCCAGCAGTGATACTTGATGACTTTCCAATCCTTAAATCACTCTTTTCCCCTGTTATTAGGGCAGTAGATGAAGTGGCAATGGGAGGCTTTTATTTTGAAATTTGCTGTGGGGTGTGTTTTGAAAACCCCCTAGAGTCTAATTTTAAAAAAGTGGTTGAGTTTGGGTCATAATGTTGAGCCATATGCTGGGAAAAAAATATGAGTTTAATGTAGGGGCTTTTATTTTGAAGGGTCCCCGGAGTCTTATTTTGAAAGTCTATCAGGGTTGCGTGTGAAGGGAAGGGTCATGGCCAGTAGTCATATTGTATCCACTTCCTAATGTTAAATCAGTGTTGTCTCCCTCCATTAGATTAAAATGTGCTGTTTAAAGTGGTGGAGGTAAAATCCTTTGAAGCACGGTTACCTTGACAACGTTAACGAGCCTGTCAGTGACAGAGAGACATGCGCATCACTTTCGTTCCTTAGTTCTCAGGCTTTTTTGAATGGGATTATCAGCTCCGAACAAACAAGTGCTGAAGACAAACCGTAAATGGTATCTAAAAAATTCTTTCAGTCTAAGCGAGAGCTATCCTTTGTCTCCGATTGGGGTAACTTTCATGGATGTAGCTCATTCACAACCTTAATGGGAAGGAGGAATAAAAAGGTTTGAGAAATCCTGCTGGTCTCATTGATTAACATGCAGCACAATGGTAGAGCAGAACTCTCAAAAGCAAAACTTTCCCTCCGAACAAACGAGCGGTGAGCCAAAACCGTATTAGGTATTCAAAAAATTCTTTCACCGTGAGCGTCAGCCATCTTTGGACTACAACTGGTGTAACTTTCATATTTCTACAATATTTCGTCTAGGCGTGGTGACGATGTAAAAAAGTGTATAATTGTCAAAATCTTGATTTTGGGGTTCGGACAGATTTGTTACCCCCGAACAAACCTTTTTCCTAGCTAAACGATAAAAGATATCGACACACTTCCTTCAATGTGAGTGCTAGGAAGGTCTGAGGAACAACTTCACCAAGGCTCATGTTGCTACGTCGAACGGTTCCCAAATGGGAGCGATACGAAAAAGTCTGTTTTTTTGAATTTTCAGTTCGGATTTTCAGAGAGCTCTCATTGGATTTCTATTGGGGAAGTGTGGACTTCTTCGTGGTCTGGGCCAAACTGTCGGAAAACCGTAAATGCCACACAAATGAGGGTTACATTTCCTGAATCCTGACAAAAATCCCTACGTTTTGATGTAAAATTTATCTAGATAGAGTAAAAAATGAGCGAGTGAGTTGAAGCTGTTCGGCATAAGTGAAATGTTTGAAAACGCTAGAGTGGCACACTCTAGCAGCTGAACATTCCGTCCATAGACTTCCATTATAAATTTGAAAATCTTTAAAAATTCTTTAAAAGTTTGAAGCTTCACTGAAGCAAAACTGTAAAAGTTAGCTGAAAGCTGAGTTAAACAGTAATAGCAGAAAGATACGGAAACATTTTAAAAGTTGAATGGTGTTTCTAGCTGAAAGTATGCTGAAGTAGTTAAAGGTCAAAGTAGCTGAAGTTTTAGCTGAATTTTGCTGAAATCTGAGAATTCTACATGCATTTCAATGGGGCCAAAAATCGCACAAAAAGCTGAATATCGCGAAAACTACAAGAAATATCTTTACCAAAAGATATAGCATCATTCTCCTGAAGAAGCTGAACGTTTTGATACCAAATTTGTTGAAATCGGCTGAAAACTGTTGAAGTAGTTAGAGACCAAAAACGTACGGAATAATAATAATAATAACTAGAAAAAGCTGTTTCGGAGAAACAGCAAAGTGGGAATGCTTTTTTTGCTGAATGAAAAAAGCACAAATTAACTGAGGAACATATGAAAATGTGATAGGAAGTCATCAGAAACTTCAAACTGCAGAAAACAATTGAATCATCTGAAGATTTTGTAGGGTAGAATCATTTGGCAGTAAAATGGCAGAAACAAACTCATCTTAAAAGCTGCACAGCCAAACCATACATAATATCAAAAAATGTCTTTAATGTGTGCACTAGAAGGGTCTTAATATAATGTCTATCAAGTTTCTAGAAAAATTTCTAAAGAAATTTTGAAGGGGGGCCACCTACTGCCCAGAAACATGTCAGGCATGTTATGAATTAGCAGCAAACAGAAAAGCTTAATTCCTGTCCAGAAAAAGAGCAAAATTAAGCCAAGGTTCACAGCATAGGCTGAAAAATATTAAATTAGCTGAATCAGAAAAGAAATTACAAAGAAAAAATTGAATCTTATCTGGTTGAAGAAAATATGAGTAGCTCAAGGATGGGAAGTAAAATGTTGAGGAAGATGGTATTGAATAAGTATCAAAATTTTGAAATTGTGGAAATGTCAAGACTTGGCACAACAATTTGAAATGATTTAAAATGTGTTGGTTGATCAGCATAAAGAAAACAGTGTCATCCTTAGAGGATTGAAAATATACAAACCTATGTGCAAGACTGACCATGAGAAGCAGAGGAAGGACAGAGAGAGAAGCTTATAGAAAGAGAGCTAATACCACTTAAGGAGCTGAATTTATCAAAAAAAATTAACCTGCATGTTACGAGCCGCTGTGTTGATGACAGCACCGTTGGCAGGCTTAGGCTGCATGTTACGAGGTTAGCAGATGCTTTATTACAGTGTAAATCTTAGAACCTGATTAAGAAATATGCACTGAGGTGTGTGGTCAACAGGCCTTGGTAGTGTAATTTGAAGAAATTGGTTGAGTTTGGGTCATAGCTACGAGCCATATGGCACAATGAATGAGTGTATGTAAGGAAGAGGCTTTTATTTTGTAGAGTCCCTTTAGTCTTATTTCAAAAGTCTATCATGGATGTGTGTCAAGGGAAGGGTCATGCCCAGCAGTGATATAGAATCCATTTCTAAATATGAAATCACTGGTTTTCCATGTTATTGGGTGAATAGATGCTGTATTAGAGCGTAAATGGGAGACTTTTATTGTGAAATTTGCTCTGGGGTATGT